GACTATATTCAATCCAAGACCCGGTAGCCAAAATCCAAACAAGGATGGCTTCTAGACTCAAGTGGTTGTGCAAGAGAACAGCCCCCTCCGAAGCCACCACTACAGCCCTGCCTGCACACACTCCCAGTGAACCCTCAGCGACGCGGGGCCCATGGGCCAGGCTGAGTCCACCAGCGACGGGCCTAGCAACACACCAGCAGCCGTCTGAACCACATACATACGGTGACGTCACGCAACTGAGCCACGTCGTACAGGACCTACAGGACATGCTGAGAGAGGTGGAAAACCTCCCGGCGAGCACCGAGGCCTCACAGCAGCGGCTACACGCCTGCCCTCACTGCGAGTCGGGTTTTGTCTCTGCACATGGCTTACACATGCACGTCACGCGAATGCATCGCGAGCACGTGCAAAGGTACATTCCCCCCTCCTTTGATCGCAGTCGGCACTCCAAGGATGGTCTACCTGTATGTTCTGCATGCGACAAGGCTTTCCATCAATGGAAAGGCCTACGTGACCATCTCTTATCGGGGGCCTGCACGCAGCCGGAACGACTGCGTCAGATCTCTCTCACCACTGAGGAACAGATGCAGGGTCAGGCCCTCCAGGGCCTGGCGGCCTTTCGCGCCAAGGTGCAGAGTTCGCCCAGCAACAAACTCAGTGCCATTGCCACCCGGCCAGAGGCTCAGGAGCTTAAGCATCGGTGCATTTTGTGCGGTTTTTGGACCCCGGACCATACCAAGATGAAGAATCATCAACGACAGGCCCATGCACAAGCATGGCAGCGAGATGGTCCGGCAGCACTTCAGCTTTGCAAGGCCTATTCTGTGCAGATGATAAAGGGGCACCCCTGCCCCTTTTGCAGGCTGCCGGTCTATGACAAACGCAAACACCCTGAGCAATGCATTGTCCTGTTTCAGGTTCTGCTTGGGTGGCACAAGGTGCAAGGCACGGACAAGATGCGGGAACAATGTTCCAAGCCTCATCCCAAGACCGCGGTGACAATGTCACTTAGTGGCTTTTTTGGGGCTGCAGACAAGCCAGCTACCGCGGCTGCATCACCCACTGTTGCCATGGCAACGACGGGCGCCGTCGGCAGCACTCTCCCGCCAGGCCTGTATTCTCGTATGCGACACATGGTGAACTCGGGTAACACCTGCTATGTCAATGCGACCATTCAGGCCCTACTAGCCGCGCTAGACTCTGCGTCCAATGTAGCGGAACTGGGACCACTGGTCCAACACTGCATCAACCCGGAAGCGGATCCAATGGATACGAGGCACATAAACCCTCCAAGCCTATTCGCTCTCCGGTCCTTAGTGCCTAGATGGCGATTCGATGGCCGTCAACAAGACGCCTCCGAATTTGTCACATACATGCTAGAGCACAACACGGGGACTCTGCAACCCGCTCGCTGGGAAGGACGCACTAATGGAGTGCCGGAAAGTGAGGATGACGGCCTCACGCCGTTGCTGCTGCCCCTTTCCTCAGCCTGTCGTACACTGCAGCAGGCCTGCACGGCATGGTATGACCACACGTTCCAGCGCGCCCTGGCATGGGCCCCTGACATCCTGCCAGTCACAATCGCTCGATGGATGGACGGCACAAAACGACGCACCCCGCTGGACCTGCGCAGGCACCTCTCAATGCCGTCTTGGATTGAGGGTCAGGGCCGGCAATGGCATCAATATGCAGTCATTTCGGGAGTTTTTCACATAGGTGCTGACATACACTCCGGCCACTACCGGTCCTTCTGGATTCACCCAAATGGAGGCGCGCTGTATGTGGGGGATGATGCCACCCGCCCATACCCAGCCTCGGCCTCAGATCGCAAACATGTTATGGAAGACTGCTACCTCCTTTTCTTGAGAAGACAGGAGTGACTCTGACTCACCCTCAAGGGGTGAGTGCTGGCCCTCCAAACCTAGGAATGCGTGCACCAATAGGGTGCCTGTGCGTGGGAAGGCCGGACCCCACAATAGGTGGGCATGGCCCCCCCCACGTCAAGGCCAAGCATGCTTTAGGCATGCGCAGGCTTACCCGCAGCTTTTCAGGCTGACCCAGCATGGCTGACACGATCCACAGCCCGGACCACAAAAGTGGTCGAACCGCCTCTCCCTGGCTCCAGATTCACTAATGGGAGAGCCATCTGAGCCGCTTGGGGTCGACACTCGACGCCAGACATCCGGAGGCGGCAAGCAGCGGCAAGGCAGCGCCCTGCATGCCCTCTCCAACGCTGCAACCAATGGTGCCACTGGCAGACTAAGCAGTAAGTCGCGGAGGCCATGCCTGTTCTCACTTGCGTCTCTTCCGAGACAGACTGATGGCCCTTCTGCCGGATGCCGCCGCTGTCAGTCGGAAATCATGCCCTAGCCTGCTGCCGGTCGCGCTACTGCTGCTCTGCAGACAGCATACACAACGCGAATTCCGTTTCAATGTTCAGGTACATACAACAATCTGGAGCTTGATACCCTGCAGCCTGCAAACTCGCTTTGGCTGATCACTGCCAGTTAGCTCAAAGCCTGTAGGCCGCCACCACTCAAAGGTCTTTTGACCTGGGCGGATCAGCTATAGGGTCTGAGTCAGTTTCACACCAAAGTGAGTGCACCGCGGCAATCGCCCGCTATGTGCAGAGCCCGCTCGCACAGCGTTCAATTGAAAATAGTGGCAGTAGCAGTAGTAGTAGTGGCAGTAGCAGTAGCAGTAGCAGTAGCAGTAGTAGTAGTAGTAGCAGTAGCAGCAGTAGTAGTAGTAGTAGTAGTAGTAGTAGTAGTGGTAGTTGTAGTGGTAGTGGTAGTTTTTGTCACCCACCTGGCACACGTGGTAGTGGTAGTAGTAGTAGTAGTAGTAGTAGGAGGAGGAGGAGGACGAGGAGGAATAGGACTAGTACGAGGTAGTAGTAGTAGTAGTAGTAGTAGTAGTAGTAGTAGTAGTAGTAGTAGTAGTAGTAGTAGTAGTAGGTAGTAGGTAGTAGGTAGTAGTAGTAGTAGTACTAGTAGTAGTTGTTGTAGTTGTTGTTGTTGCAAGCAAGTCTTTGGAGATGCAACTACGAAATGCTTTAGCTGCTCCGCTTACTACCACCACCACCACCACCACCACCACCACGACTACTACTACTACTACTACTACTACTACTACTACTACTACTACTATTCCTCCTCTTCTGCCTCCTCCTGCTGCCGGTACTACTGCTACGGCTAGTACTACTTTGTAGTTCTTACAACAGTTCTTGTAACAGCTTCCGTAGAAGCAACAAAGCAGCAGGAGGAGAGCAGCCGTGATGTAGTAGAAGAGGGGACGACTACAGCGCCTCTCTCAGCCTCGACCCGACCTTCTTGCAGGACAGGCGACAATGGAAGCAATCGCCAGTCCGTACAGGTCTTCCTCCAATCCCTCACATGGCAGGATTTTAGGAAGAGGGAGCCAGTGTCAAATCCACAAAGCAAAATCAAGGACGTGGCTACACGTGGGAGCTTGAGCAAACAAACTGCCAAAATTCCCATACACGAGACAACAATAACACCGACTGTATAAAGTATTATAGGGGCCTTAACAATTACCTACACCATTTCGGGGGGGGGTCCTTATTATATTTATAGTGTCATGGGCCCAAAAACCCTATTCTACTTATTAAGGCCCCTGTGTTAAGCCCTTTGTGCCAGCCTCTGGTCCACATGCCTGTGCTTTCAGCTCTTCAGCTTCATCTCCCTGGCACGTTCTGAGGCGTTAAGTTTTGGGATCGCTGGGCTTCAGAAACCGCCCAAAATATTAAGGCCGAGGATGCAAGTAGACTGGCTGTCAAAGATTCGGCTCAAGTATGCCCCTGTACTGACCACACAGTGCTGCGCCGATGCGTTGAGATACTACTCCCCAGCCTGCCTACCTACCTGGCCAGCTGTCCATCTACGCATCTATCTATCTATCCATCTGTCGATCGATCTCTGTACCTACGTAAATTGCTGTATCTATCTATCTACCTGTTCCATACATGCGAATACAAGCGTTTCTTACAACCTATAAGCAAGTATGCGATGCACGCACGCACACACGGGCGAACACGGAGAGAGAGAGAGAGAGAGAGAGAGAGAGAGAAAAAAAAAGAGAGAGAGAGAGAGAGAGGGACGGACACACGCATGCATGCACACGAGCCGTCTCTGAAGGAAACGGCTCGCTCTCTCTCTCTCTCTTCTTTTTGCCTCCTGCATGGCCTCGCTCTCCGTCTCTGAAGGAAACGGCTCGCTCTCTCTCTCTTTTTTTTGCCTCCTGCATGGCCTCGCTCTCTCTCTTTCTTTGTCCAGGGCAGAGGAGTCTGGTCAAAGATCCCGCGCCCCTCCCTTTTCGGTCAGTGTGTGAAGTTGTGCAGCGGAACTGAAGGAGGTCTGCTCTCTCTCTCTCTCTCTTCCTCTTCTGCGGGGCGTAGGAGGCGTCTCAAGCCCTCTGGCCACATGGGCCCCCCATTTGTTGTGGGGCTTTCGGTAGCGCGTGACAACGACATCGAGTCCCCCAGAAGCCTTGACAGGAAGTGTATTGGCCTATGAAACATCCGGAGTGGTCGATGTTTTTGACACATGCACTTACGGCGCTTTCTCTCTGACTCTCTCTCTTGCTTGCTTGCTTGCTGCAGGCCATAAGGGCTGCCAACGGTAATCACTTCGATTCCTGGCAGTTGCAGCATACATGACTCAGCAATGACTCAGGCCCTTAACACAGGGTGACTGTGTGTTACATGAGACGACCCGCCCCATGCTGCCAAATTTATGTGAAAGACATGTCTGCATGAATCCGTAGGTGCTGCTGCTCGCCGCAGCGTATTGTTACTCCAAAGTCTGGGTTTTGGTGGCAAATGCGGTCTGGTTCTATCTGCGCCGATATAGTCTGTACTGCCTACCAGCATTACTAATGCTCTTGCGTCTGCTATGGTATAATGATGACTGTGACTGCTTGTGATGGCTACGGTAGCCTCCAATATTTACTGTTCTACTTCCAACCTCTGTGCAAACTACCTAGAGGCTCCATAGTAGTCCCTGTTTGGGGTTCATATTTAGATTCAGCCCTGCCTCGGCTTTCTTGGCTTTGAAAAACATGCAGCTGGACAGGGCGAGCAAACCTGACGGCATGAAGTCTCGGATCTCTGCGAAGATGATCAGCAATTCGGATTTAATGTACCGTGTGCACATCTCGCTCCAGTCTACGTATCAGCACCAAGACCCAAATTGAGGTCCCCTGGACTTCTGGAAACAAACCTTGCACTTGCGTCCAGGCGTCAGAAGGTCAGCATGAAGAGGATCAGCACAGGGAAGAGCGCGCCAAGCTTCGCTTTGAAGAGCAGCGTCCAGGCATTGTCGTCGATGGCAAGGGGCCCTCTCGGGGCAAGAGCTGAATCTGAGGCTGCCACAACCCCAAAAACTTGGCGGTGTGCACTTGCCATTGTTCGTCAAGCGTCGGAGAAATCCACCACAGCTGGTGAAGATAATGCCAAACTGGAAATAAACTCAAGTAACGAACTTCTAGTAAAATAAGGACCTTAAAAAATAAGTTTTGGGGCATATATTACATTACGTATAACAAGGACCCCCCCGCAAAATACATGACATAGCATCTATGTACTCTTTCGTAAGGCCCTCTATTACACAAATGCCGCTGTGAGCCGGTCCTTTGGGATTCTGCGGGTACAGTGTGGTGGTTGCCGGTGCGGCCGGCGCAGGCGCGGGAGGTGTTTGGTCACCTGCCGAAGCTGCAGGTTTCGACTCGCACACTCGCTCAACGCAGGCACGGCTTCATGAGATCTGAGCTGCAGGTTTCTTTTCCTCTCCGACTTTGGCAAGGATGCGAAGGTCAGCTGTCGGAGCAACTGCACGCCCACGAGACGCTTAGGATTTCCTCTGGAAATATCGTCGGCATGAAGGATACGTAAGACAACGGGTGTGACGACGGATCTTTGGCCATCTTACTCGAATTCCCGAGGGCAACTAGCCAGGACATCGCAGGAGCAGGTAACACCAGCTCGGCAGCAGTTGCCCACATCTAGGATCAGTAGGTGGCCGCCAGGTCCTGGGGCTTCATGGGCAATGTTTTGGGCCGGGCAAACCAAGGCGTCGAATACTTGACACGTTTTCCGTTCAGGTCAACGCCTGCAGACACCCTGCCAGCGGCACCACCGTACATCCGCTTGAAAGCCTTGTCGTGCAGCTCACGGCTTCTCCAGTCGAACACGCGGTTGAAAATGATAGAGTCCATGATGCTCTGCTGGTTTGGAGCACTTGTGTAACAGCGGACTCCCCTCATCGGGGGATCGTCACCACCAGCCGGAAGGCAAGAAATGACAGCTGCGTAGTCTTCGGCAGCTTTGGCAGCCACCACCTGCTGATCATTCAAAGAGCTCCTGCACTCCACGGCAAGCCGCTTTGCGACAGCACCGCGACCTTCAGGACGTCCTGCCCCTCCGTGGAAAAAGCTCGGCAGCTGCACCTCCTTCTGCCATTCCTTCTGCAAGTTTCCCAGGTCTCCTCTGCCTGGTACTTGCTTGAGTGCCTGCGACATGGCTCCTGGATCAAGGCCGGCTGGCCATTGCAAACTGCCCTCTTTTCTTGAGCCAAATTTAGGGTTCAGGGTTGAACATGAGAAACAACCGTCTCAGCGACTCAAGACTGACTCAAGCAATTATTGCGTGCTTCGCGGTGCTTCGACTGTATGGATACCTCATGCTCAGGGCCTGCAAGCAGGGCGGCTTGATTCCGCACCCGATGATGGGCGGAATGGTCCGGAACAGGCACCTTAGGGCGTTTGGAATCACTGTCTCGACCTGTGTGTCACCTATAACGAAACTGCCGCTTCAGTAACATCGGAGTACAAGAATCTGCATTGAATGTGCTGAAGTCCACCTCTGAGAAAGCAGTCGAAAGACATGCCAAGGTGCAAAGTCTTGGGCTTCCCCATTCGCATCGACGCGGGCTTCATATCGCATCATCCTCGGGTCTTGGCTCTCGGCGACTGCACCTCAGCAGAGGCCGGTGGGCGCGGGAGAGAAGAGAGAACCCGAAGGTCTGTCCGAGGCACCGAAGCATCCCAAAAGCATGGTGAGGGAAAGCATCTTGCTGATTTGCATGACCATGGATGAATGAGTGCAGAGTGCACCTCAGTCCACGCAGACAACGCAAGGAGCGTCCCTGGAGACTCCAAAACCGGTCACTGGATTCGAGACTTAAACCGCGGTGAATGTATCTACAACAAGCTTAACGCGTCTAAAGTGTTTTTATGCAAACCAAGAAAAGTTATTGCTTCCCCCGACTTGCCATGCCAAGCAGCTCAGCAAGGGCAAACAACTAGTAGAAATGGGTCTGAACCACAGACGTGGCTGCGTTGCCAGCGTCAGATTTCGGCACGATAGCAGTTTGGAAGATCCGGCAACGCGGCATGCAACACGAACATGACATCTCCAATCATGCTCCAAGTTCTTTCGCATAACCTAACTTAATTTAAGCTACAAGTGGGGGCTAATTGCGTACCCAGCCGAATTATTTTACGTTACTTACTCGCTTGCAAAATCGCTTCCTCACCATCAAGCTAATATGATCTAATATGGGGGCCTGAAGAAAATTATAGCATCATATACCCCCCCAAACCCCATTCAAACTATATAAGGCCCCTGTAGACTTACGGTCAGACGACATCTCGGCGGTTGTCAAAATTATGGCCCCAATTTTGGGTACCCTAAATATGAGGTGCCGTATTGCTATAAGGACCCCAAAAGGAACCCTAATTTTGACAACCTCCCAACTGGATCCATGCTGTCGCCTCCCGCTTGGCTGCTTCCGCCTCCTCCACAGCCTTTCCCATCCGAGGCAGTTCGCTGAATGTGAATAGGGTTCCTTTAAAAGAGTCCTATAAGGGTTACTATAAGGGTACTATAATATAGGGGCCTTTACAGATAGAATAGGGTTTTGGGGCCCAGTAAACTATAATCATAATGTGAGAAAACCCAAAAGTGGTAATTAGTTAGATAGGCCCCTATACTATCTTGCACCGGGCCTTCATAGCATCCGGGTAACCCCGCATGCTCGAGGTTGACGCTCCCCTGTGTGCTGAATCTCAAAGCTTTAACGCACCGAATTCCGAGCCCTGAACCCAGGTCAGTAGGTGAGCTTGAAGCTGAGACAGAGCATGCAAAGGTGTTGTTTTCAGCACATGGACAGCAGAGATGCAGAGAAGTGGGATCCTACTGGGCACCCTTGATGCGGGACGAATCATGCACAAAGAAGCTGTGCAGTGCTTGCAGTATCAGGGGACATAGTGCGCAGGTAATGAACATAGAATCATGCATATCAAGTTCTCGTTACTGTATGAATGACCAAACTCGTACACTACTTGCTCAGCTCACTGATCCTTCAAGTATACGGAACTTGGCACCCGTGCGCTTGCTACCTCTGCCTTCATCTCCTGCGTCACGACACAGTCGTGGCATGAACTCAGGATGCAAACGACATGTGTGCTGTCCAGTTGGACATCGAATACATTCCATTCAGCAGAACACATCCTCACCCCTCAATTCCATGAGCTCCAAGCCCTATCCAGGCACATGCCGCACCTCGCAGGCGAGCTCCAGTGCTGACACCTTTCAATCAGGGCCCCGTGCATGCGACTCATATATGTACTCTTGTCGAAGGTTGCGTCATCAGGGAAAGATGTCCTCGGCAACGCGTGGCCTCTCTATCCACACTGCGTTGGAACACTTCGAGCATGCATTCGATTACAGCAAGCACCCAAACTGCCAAGCGCTGAACCCTAGGCCCTAGGCACACTTTCGGATCGTTCTGGGGGCTGACGGCCTCGCTGGTGTGCTCCCGACTCATCCGCGCCTCTCGGCCCCAGCTTCTTGAGCTTTACTGCTATTCTCAGCATACTAGATAAACAGCCTTGCTGAAGCATCTTGAATCCAAAGACTGACACTTTTGCTTCTCTTGCTTGCACTCGGAGAAAGGAAGAGCATGCAGCCCCCCGCCCCCTCCCCCCCCCGCGCGCGAGGGCGCACCGGTTTCGTCGTCTGACTGAGGTGACGCTTCAGTTTGATACTTCTCTCTCCCTCTCTCTCTCTCGGCCGCCGCAGACGATGGGGTCTGTAAGGTCGTGTTCGGATCTTGTGACGTTAAAAGTGTTTTGATTTTTCACCAATCCGCTCCTGCCGCTTGCTCAAGGCACCGGCCACATCTTAACTTCATTGGAAGGCTGTTGTAAAGGGCACACAATCACAACAACACTACACCATGTAGCACCAAGCGTAGCAATACAATTTTGCGCGGCCGTAGGGCTGCACTCTTGCGGGAACGACACAAGATGCTGGGAGTCAAAGTTCCAAGTCGCAGGGAATATGCTACGGACTCGTGTGACCTGTCGACACATCAAAGGCACGCACATACAACTTCAGATTCGCATGTTCATTGTCATGTACACCGCACAGTGGCAGCAGTCCAACAATCTGATTACGGCAGCGGTAGTTGCAGTAACAGCTCCAGCTGTGGCAGCTGCATCAGCACCGACAGTAGGCAGTAGAAGCAGGAGTGGCAGTCGTAGCAGCAGCAACGGCAGCAGCAGCGCAGCTGCAGCAGTAACAGCAGCAGCAGCAGCAGCAACAACATTCTTGGTGGTGGTAAGGCGGAAGTGATGATAGTATCATTGTGAGAGTGCTCGTGGCAGTAGTGGTAGTGGTTGTCGGCTGGTTGCGGTCGAGGTTGGGGTCGTGGTCAGGATGGTCGCTCCGGTAGTGGAAGCGGTCGCAAGCGGAGTAGTAATCGTCGCTGCTGTGGTAGTAGTTGCTGCTGCGGTTGGTGGCGGTTGTGCCGCGAGCAAAAACAACTACTAGCACGAGCGTCAGTTGGATCAAGACGAACTGTGTCAGTAAGTACAGATCCAAAACCGGAAGCACAAAACCCAAGATACATGATGATGACAACCGTCGAAACTATACTGTATCCAGCGACTACTTACGAGTTATGACGGCGCCACATGTCTGACAGCCCAAACCTCCGGTGCCAACCGACGTGCATCGGCTCCTGCCTGCCGTTCCGTGGCATCGGACTTCAGCTCCTCTATCCTCATGCCTCACAAGGGCCCTTATAATAAGGATCCTACCATTTAGGGTGCTATATTAGGGTCCCCTATTTTCGGAAACTCCCACATGTGCCGTTTACAAATAAAACCCAAAGAAGGTGCGTACTTTCTGCATCAGGACTTGTGCAATCGCCTGAATACATGGAGGGAAGGTGCGCACTAAAAACTAAAAGCGGTTTCGGGTTTAGGGTAAAAGCGGCTTTATCTCACATGCAGCTGCATCTTTCCGGAGTGATCCCAGGCCGCCGACACATCAAATCCACGGCTTCCTCAGCCTCCTGCAGCCTCGGCTGGTCTCAGCGGCTGTCCATATGGGAGTCTCCGAAAATAGGGGACTCTAATATAGTACCCTACATAGTAGGATCCTTATTTATAAGGACCCCAAAATAATAGGTACCCCCAATTTCGGAAACTACCATATCGTTTAGCTTTCTCACGTCCGCTCAAGCATTATGTCTGGATCCTTTCATCACACATCAGTATTCTGCATTTGCATGTCACAGCAGTCTGCCATTCTACCTGCACAGACGTGGCTAGTGGCCGTTCATTGGCCACACGGTGGGAGCAAGCTTCGATCTTGCCCCTCTCCACCCGAACCTCCTGCGTGGTGACAGAACGGAGCTCGAGGCGCAAATCCCTGAGCAATAGACCCTTTCCTTAAATAAAGATTCCAACATTCAACAGACTTCGAAGCTCCTGAGATGGAAGTGTTTTCGTGCGGGATGGAGATGGGAACAGTCTGTGCTTCGACGGGTACGCACATCGGCTTGCGCAAGTCCATGAGGCATCTCCTGGCGAAGCTTCTTCTCCGCGCTCTGTTCTGCCATCTCTTCTTGTCGAAGCCTGCTTTTTGGTCGAGGCCGTGGCCCCGCACGATGCAGGAAGCAAGTAATTCAAGTAAAAGCTGTCATGCACGGACAGATTCCATACATGCAATACACTTGTCAATAAATTTTGCCGACGGCATAGCATGCCCAGAAAGAAGGCAGCCTTCGACATCGTCCCCCCCCTCGGCAGTTGTAGTTCTCAGTGGCCTGCTCTCCTCGCGCTCGGAGCGGGCGATTTCCGCCCAAATGGCATCCACCTCCACGGAACGACATGGCTATCATGAGGAAGGCGGGGAAATCTGTTCAACACGGAAAGCTTCCAGGCATCTTCAGGCTTCAGACCTAAACTCGTAAGTGAGTCAGAGGAAGCCTTCCGAAACCTTCGGCTCAAAACTGCAGCTTGTTCCTAAAAGTTCCTAAAAAAGGGGCTTGAATAATTAGAATAGGGTTTTGGGGCCCGTTATACAATAAATAAATATTAACAATCATAAAGAACCTCCAAAATAGTGTAGGTAATGATTGAGGCCCCTATATTATCCTCCTTGGATAGCCCATGAGCCTTGGAATCAACCAACATGAAAACAAAGCCCTCGAGTCATTGAAGCAAGATTTTCTCAACCCTGACTCTTGGTAACGTTGGGGCCTTAATAATTAGAATAGGGTTTTGGGGCCCATTATACTATAAATCCAATAAGGAACCCCCAAAGTAATATAGGTAATTATTTAGGCCCCTAGATTACACTCTTGCCTTCTCCTGGGCTTTGATAGCACAACCGGTAATATAACATAGGAGGATAGTGGATCCATAAGTGCATCCCAAAACTTTTGTAAAACAGCCCAAGCCCAAAAGTTCAACTTAAAACTCCTAAACCCTCAATACAAACGTGCCGACATCCTATAAACAACATCAACAGCACCAGCAGCCGCAACAGGCATTTAAAACCCAAATGCACTAAAAACCCGAAACAACCCTGAAGCAGATAACGCCTCTCATCGACACTTTTGACGCCCGTGCTCGCTCCTCGAAGCGGTGGCGCGCGCCCGTGCGTGTGGCAGCGACTTCACCTCGGCGAAAGCCAGGGTACCAATCATAAGGGCACCTTAGTGATTAGAATAGGGGGGGTATATTATACTATAAACATAATGATCAAAGAATCCTCAAAACCCTATTCTAAGTATTAAGGCGCCTACATTAAGGGTTCTTACTTTCACGTTTCCTAATCGGGTTACTATTTGGGGTGCCGGTTAGTATTCCTGCAAGTGCCTATTCAGAGCTTCGATTCGGGTTCCTATCCAGGGTTCTATTAGGATTGGTTGCTAAGAATTTGCAGGTGTACCGTGAAAAACGCCGTGCAAGTGAAGCGACCTAGAACATCTGTCGTTGCGCACCAATGATAGCAAGTGTCGCTGGCTCTTTTTTCGATGCCATCCGCAAAGAGGTCCCGGAGAGGTGCGCTTGGTGCCCCAACACTTCTAAAACCAAACCCTCAAGCTACCGTAGGGTATCATGCGGTTTTTACGTGCGTACATCGTAGCCGTCGCAACCTTGCCGGAAGGAGCACCTGGGCGCTGAGATCACTCCAATTAGAGCAGCCTCCGGCGCCAGTCGCTATCGAAGTCTTCTTTGCCTTGGTTACACACAATGAGAGCTTCAGGGAAGTTTTGCAGTAGATGTTTCTCAATATTTCTTTGGGATTTTGCTATAAACTAGGTTCTGAATAATGGGATCCCGTACAGACCCCTAGTACAAAAGTCGCTGACTCTAGCCTGAAGAAGCCCCGACATCTCAGAGCATGGGACATGGCATCAGCTGGAAGGACCAATCACACTCTTCATCCGGCTTGATCAGGTGCTCGTCCAAAGGCTTTCGCCCCCAGGAATCGATCCCACCCACCCCCATCTGGATCGCATCGACGCAGAAGGCCTGCAGCCACTAGCTCAAACAAGAGTGACCTCAAAGCCTGAGGTACACAGATCAGACGTACACGCATGCATTGAAACAGTGATCTACGTGTATAATATGCGACATACGATACACATGACTATCTGTTACCCCCCTAGTGGGGTAAGCAAAATTACTCAGCATTTTAGAGGAGTGTCATGATGCGATTGATACGGATAGATGATTCATGTGCATGCATGCATGCCTACAATTCAACAAAACGAACACATCAAGGAAGCGAGCAATGAAACACACATACGTAAATACAAAGTTACATTTGCGCATGTACCATGGATAAATATTCATATACTTACGCCTGTACATATACATGTCATATACACCCGCATACACACTCATGCAAGGATGCCAAGCAGCCGTGGTGGGCTGCTCGATGAGCTCCCCGGCATGCAGGAAGCTCCTTGGTCCCTCTGCAGAAAAAGGGTATCCTTTTGAGAGGTTCCCTTGTCAATGTATCAGGAAGCCCAAACCCCAATAACAAAAAAGGACCCCTAACATTGACTAGGCTCTGCTGAGCCTTCACATCACCTCCATCGAAATCCTCCAGCGCAAAGTGATGACACTGCATCTGCAGCATCTGGGATTGGCCCTCGGCTGCTAGTCACCACGAACGGCTCAAGTCCCAGACCTATCATTAGATGCATATACGTGTATGTATTAATGTACATATGTATACACACACAGAGAGAATCATCTGCTACAATAAGCACTATGTCCATGTAAACGGAATTCTGTACTCACCCCTTGATTTCAGTCTGGTGCCGCCGCTGAAATCAGCATCATGGTGCAGGGGTCTGCAGGTCGTCGTTTCAATGCCATCCATCTGGTCTCGAACTTGTTGCCGTTCTCTTGGGGCCGAACATACTTCACCTTGGAGAGCCGACGACATTGCATCTTCAACACCTTTCGATCTGCATTCCATAACACAGTGTCATTTTCTGCCTGCGTATGCCTGCCTGCTTACATTAAGTTACATACACGTAGACGTATAGTCATGGTCTATGTGTGTATGACTATACATTCATGTATCCATCGTTCCATCCATCCATCTGTGTGAAGGCTAAATCCGAGCCACAGTCTGCTCGGCGATGGAGCCCTGAAAAAGGCCCACACGCGCCGAGGCGTGGCGATCCAAGTAAGACTCATGAGGACCTCTGCCGAACCACTCGACGTCATGAAAACCATCAACGAGGGATCCGGCAAAGCCGATCCTCATGGGAGCTGGTTGGTCCTGCGCAGATGCCATGCATGCACCGTCCCTCTTCTCGCATTGTCAGGCGAGCGGACCTTTGGCCTTATGTAACGGCGGGAAGGGAAGGTAAGGCCCGGTCCTTGACCTCCAGAAGAAACGTCGTGAAAGGCGACTCGACGTCGACGGCTACCACGAAATTCTCCACCACTGCCAAGAACTTCCCTCCAGCTTCCAGTGTCACCTGGCTATCATACATCGCCCGTTCCTTCTATTTCTTGCTGTGAGGTGGGCGTAGCACAGTGAGCCTTGTCGCCAGAAAGCACCTGGCCCTTGCCAGCCACTCTACGCAGTGTCCAGATCGGATCCTCAACGGATGCTTGGAGAGGAAACAGGGGGTTGCTGTACCAGACATAATGCATTACCACAGTAGTAGCAGCAGCAGCAACAGCAGTAGCAGCAGTAGCCGTAGCCGTAGCCGTGGCCGTAGCAGTAGTAGCAGTAGTAGCAGTAGTAGCAGTAGCAGCAGTAGCAGTAGTAGCAGTAGCAGCAGCAGCAGCAGCAGGAGCAGGAGCAGGAGCAGGAGCAGGAGCAGGAGCAGGAGCAGCAGCAGCAGCAGGAGCAGGAGGAGCAGGAGGAGCAGGAGGAGCAGGAGGAGCAGGAGGAGCAGGAGGAGCAGGAGGAGCAGGAGGAGCAGGAGCAGGAGCAGGAGGAGGAGGAGCAGGAGGAGGAGCAGGAGTAGGAGTAGGAGTAGGAGTAGGAGTAGGAGTAGGAGTAGGAGTAGGAGTAGTAGTAGTAGTAGTAGTAGTAGTAGTAGTAGTAGTAGTAGTAGTAGTAGTGGCATAGCAGTAGTCGTATTAATGGGAATATTCGCAGCAGCAGGAGCAGTAACAGCAGCGTCGCAGTCGTCGTCGTAGTTAGCAGGACTCATCCGCCCAATAGTTCGCGCGCCTGAGGATCTCCTGTAGCTTCAACTGCACAGGCTGCGCCAGCGTAACCAGGAGGCCTTGGGGCACTGGGGGAAGCTTTGCATCTGAGTGATGCTATGTGAATATATGTCAACGGGTCACAAGAAGCAAAAAGGCCATAGTCGTGATCTCAAACCCCCAAGCTTCGCACGTTGTGCCAGCAGAGGGGATTGGCACAAGACCATGCAGCCTCAGCGTGATGGGAGGATAGCCAGAAGAAGGCTCGGACATCTGCTGCTTGGATGCAAAAGCTTGCTCTCGGTCTTGCCGGTGACCGCCTCGGTCTTCGGAGAGTCTGCAGCATGCCGTGAAGCAAAACTGTGGTCTGCGCCGGGGAGTTGAGGGATGCACCTGCAGTGCGAGCTTGTCACCGTCTTCCAGCGGCTTTCCAGCTTCCTTGCCGGCCTCAAATGCAGAGAACGGGAGCTGCACTGGCTCCGCCGTGGCAGTGGAAGAAGTGGGGAGGAGTCTCATTGGGAGCCTATAAGCCATGGGTAGATGTGTTTTTGCAAGAGCAAATACTTGAATTGATTGGGCGGTTTGGCATCTGCCTGCGTGCATTTGCTAAAGTTGTCTCGTGCCACCCATCCACCCATCCTCCCTCCATCCATCCCTCCCTCCGTCCGTCTATCTACTATACCAAGATACCACATGTGCCAAGCCGCGACGTTCATCGTCAGGGATTGCCACGCACCCATGTCGTTCCAACGTGCTCGCACCACACTTCCTTCCACATCGATGTGGCGATGGGTTGAGCCCTTCAGATATCCTTGGCGAGACTGGGGTCCCGGAAACACTCCGAAAAACTGCGATACCCTAGCGTAGCAGTCCTTGGAAAGCTGCGTTCAACACCAGTAGATCTCAGTAGTCACGTCTTGCAGCGCTCTCCTCCTCCCAATGAAACGGCCCCGCCCAATAGAAACTCCAGAAATGTTTTTCTTACTACGCGGTGATCTCATCTCTACTGTTACTTATCTTGCTGCTGCTCTGGCTCAGGGCTTGGTTGGCTCTTGCTCCTGTTCCTGCTCTTTCTCCTGCTCGCTCCTGTTCTTACTGCTGCTCCTGCTCTCACTCTTCCTCCGCCTCGTGCTGTTGCTCCAAGTCTTGCTCTTGCTCCTGCTCTTGCCCCTAATCCAAATTGGGCCGCAATGATTTCAGCGGCTTGTCCAAAGTGCTTTGATTATGAAGGGGCAAAGGCTTACAGAGATTTCAGAATGGTTCGGACACGGTGGTCCCACAAAAGCTACTACAGTACCCCGTCTCGAAGGAGCGTCCCACGGAGCCCGTGGTGGCGAGCTGTGGTCCATCCTTCCTAGCAGGCCGCCACTTCGCCGCCACCACCACTCCAGTACAGGAAATCCGGAAGTCCAGGTATAGCTTGGCACCTGGCCCGCTCGGAAGACTCTGATGGTTTACAGCCATAGACGTCATGCTCGGACTTATTTTTAGACGACTCGTTTCCATCTGCATGAACGTCCAGACAGCGGGCTTCCGCCGGGTGTGTCTAGCGTCTAGCGGCAAGGCGGATGTAAAAGTGTTGTTTGCCCGAACATGTATGCTCGGTCTAGGGCGCAGGGATACCGGTGGATGCCCCAAGATTTTCGGCAGCCATGGGCAAAGGACTTACTCTGCTTGGGATGCTGAGGCGGGTTTAATATAGGGGCCTTATTAGAATAGGGTTTTGAGGCCCATTATACTATAATTACAATAAGGAACCCCCAAAACGACAAAGGTAAGCATTGAGGCACCGATATCATAGTACCCTTACAGATCTCTTATAGACCCCTTACATAAGGGTAGGTAATTAATTATTGAGGCCCCTATATTAAATCCTTATAATAGCCCTTTCAAGACCCCTGGTAACCCGATAGATCCCGTTAAAGGAACCCTTATGGATCCCTCCAAAGAAACCCATAGAAACCCCGAAGTGGATTCAGGCCACCGCCAAGGCTCGCCTGCTCCAACCAGAAGCTCTGCACCAATCCTCACAGCACCCCGGCCGGGTTCGATGCGAAGACCATTCGTCCTTCGTCGCTTTTCCCTCCTACCTAGCAAGGACGAAGCCTGCATTGCAGGGAATCTTGGATGAACAGCAGAAAAAGGCCACACTTTCGTAGCTAATTGACCTTCGAGCACTGCAGTAAGTGACTTGATGACTAACCACTCAAAGGCAGTACGCTTAGACTTTCGGGTTTCGGCTTCGGCATCTGCAAGCTAGGGTTTCCTTGCTTTATATTAGATATGTATATGTATACTGAAAATGATATATATATATATATATATATATATATAGAAAAATGTATATATACATATATGTTTAAAGGTATATATGCAAGGACTCGATTGCTCTGTAAAGGGGCCCCTTCTTGAACTCAGGAGCCTGACAAATTACAAAGCCATGGTCTTGCAAGGTGGCGTTATGTGTGCTTTGTGGTGTTTCCGGTGCTAAGTCCACAGAGGAGCTTCAAAAGACAACGTGGGATCCTAAGTTTTCCAATAAACTTTAGAGACCCCAGCACATCGTTGCACTCCAAGCATCACTGTGGCCCTCTGCCCTGCGAACCTCCAGCACTTCATGTCGTTCTGCAGATTGGCTCCTGGCCCCGCCAACAAAGGCAGAAGTTCTACAAGACGCTTGGCGGCCAATATAGGGCCTATCGGGCCCAGGGAAAAATGGGAGTTTCCGAAAATAGGGGTACCTTATTTGGGGGTCCTTATAATGAGGCTCCTACTGGTTAGGGTACTATATTAGGGTCCCCTATTTTCGGAAACCCCCAAATGGGTTCCACCAAGACCGAAGCACCAACGCTCCCGGGAGCCACCACAGACCAGAGGAGCTCCAAGAGCACAGTTTACCGCCAACCTTTGTCCCCTCCCCAAACCCCAAACCCTAAACCCTTATGGCAGTCCGTAGTCGTTGTCCGTCCTTGGTCCGCGATGCTAGGCAAGGGCGTGCATGTAGGTTTTGGGACCTCTGAACAAGTAGTTACGTAGTGATTCAATGTGCTTCAGACTTCTGTATAAGCCAAGGAATAACCGCGACCCCGAAACCATCTCGAGCCGTAACTTAAACCCACGATCCCTACGAACCTACAATCTACAAACCCATCTACAAACCCCGCAACGAAAACATACCCCAGGCAAACAGGACCCTTAAACCCTAAGCCCTTAAGTCCCTTTGAGCTCCACACCCTTAAACCCCAATTAAGCATGTGTTCCCAAACCCCACACCCTAACCCCAAATATAAGCCCCCTTATTATGAACCCAATTAAGGTATATCCCTATAAAAGGCTTGTGCTTATGTCCTTGTCTTACCGTTGGTTAATAGGGAATGGAAGAATGGTAGTAATAGTAGTCATAATTGTACCTCATTCCTCCATTCCCTACTCACCCAAGGTAAGTTGTTGGGTCCCCGATCTAAGATGAACCCTATTATGGGAACCCTAATCGCTACTAAACCCCCATAGGCTGAAAACCCCTTTCGGGTGTTGGGTCCCGATCTAAGAAGCCCAGCATCGGCGGCCGCCAGAAGTTTGGCAGCAGCGGTGAGGCCAGGAGCTCAAGGCCCTCAAAGGCGAGGCCAGAAAGGCAAGCGCGAGACACTTCGATGCCTGGGCTCCTACGGTCAATGTCGAGGCCTTAGCAATAGGCTCTTCGGGGTTCCGTAATATAAGTATAGTATCATATAGCCCCAAACTCTACTCTGATTATTCATGCTTCCGGGGTGAGCTTACGCTGTCACAACTATCCTCAGTCTACCTTGGAGGATCATGGGACTTAGTAAGTATAAGGTTATAAATACCTTCATGGGGGTTATAAGTCTAGTTACCTTATTTATAACCCTAGTTACTAAGTCCCATGATGCTTCAAGTAGGGTTGAGGATTTCGGCCTTCAGTCTCGGACTCCCTTGGCGAGGAGGATTTTGCGTTGAGAGTAGGCTCCGTTCTTTTCGCTGGAGCGGGCGGAGGTTGCAAAATCCGACCGCCCAAACCCCGCAAACTTTGGGGATATGGTTGCGATCATCACAAGAGAATATATGTGTATAATATATATATATATATATGCAAGATTCCATCTTGGCAGGCTTAGGAGTTCGGATTGATGAGGGTGGCTTGAAGAACCGGTCCAGATTGAAATATCGCTGGTTTACAGACGCGCCTACGGTTCGGGAAACGCCCATGCACTCAAACCTGAGGTTTGCTATCCCTCACACAGCCGCAACCAATCTGCCTGTTCCAGTTTTCGTTTAATCGGGTTCATGGGATCAGTAAGATGGCGAAAAGCTGTTGATGCCAAAGGCACGCGCAGTGAGGGCTCCGGCTGTGATTGTGACCTTGGGCGCTTTCGGCTTTCGAGGCTTCTTGGTCCAAGCAACCCTGAATTGCCCACCAAAGTCTCTTCGTAACTTCCTCCTCCGCCCCAAAAATCGGAAATCTCCAAACTTACCCACAAGAACATCAGCAATGCAGTGGGCCTTAAACTTTAACCCTGAACTCCATAACCCTTTTTGCCACTGGGCTTGGGGCTAGCCAGATCCTTGCACACCATAACCCTAAATCCCAAACCCCTAGAGCCTTATGAACCCTTACCCCTGCCCTCAAGCCCCGAAACGCTACGAGTACGGCCCTAAAACCCTACATCCTCGAACAGGAGCGCGCTTTAAAGTCGAGTTGCCAGCTCCGGAGACTGATCCACTGCCGGCTCCGGGCCAGTGATGGTCGCTGGCACCTCCTCCAAGCACGGCGGACTCCAGAGCCCAATAAATGGGAGTTTCCGAAAATAGGGGACCATAATATAGTACCTTAAATAGTAGGATCCTTATTCTAAGGGTTCCAAAATAAGGTGCCGCTATTTTCGGAAACTCCCAAATGGAATCATCTCCCAAAATGAAGGTGTAGCTCAATGCCTTAATTAAGTCTAGACTTCCGCAATCTCAAAATGCTAAACTTGCATCCACAACACCCTGCCGCATCCCGAAACAGAGCTGTGCTCTTTGCCCTGCAGCAGCATCGGGGGGTTACAATGTGAGCCGGATATGCTGCTCTAGAGTCAAGTTCCTTTTGATGTCGGCGGGGTGTTGTTTTCAATATAGGTCCATGCGAAGATCCTTCATCTAGTTCACCTCCTGCCTGTCTTGGCCCTCAGCCTCTCCCAGAGTTCTGCACGGACTGGCGACTCCCCTTGAGTCCCAAGCCCACCACTCCTTGAATCTGCTACTTGAGAGAGGCCAAGCACCCAGTCCTTGTGGGGAGGCTGGTTGAGGAGCCATTGCTCCCAAGCGACCTCTTCGCCAGCTTCGAAACATCCCCCGGCTGCTCCTAAGCACAAAATGTTTTCACTGGCTGGCTTTAGGGTTTAGGGTGAAACCTAAGCCCTAAAAGCCCAGCCTTTTTGGCTTTTCAAGCTTAGGCTGCTGGAATCTTCCCGCGCTTGACAAGCTAGACTTCAGACTGTCGAGACATGCCCAGAGCCATGAGTAGTCCATTGCCCTACTTGTCGAAAGGATTGGCTGTCGTCACAATATAGTATATGACAAAATGCTCTATGAAAAATCAATAATAAATATGTTCTCCAATCTTTGGTTCAATCTCTACCTATACCTGTGACACGACTTGGAAACGCAACTTGGCTGCCAAGTGTCGCATGGAGGCAGACACAAGCAGGTGCACTTCGCAACGTGGTCCCTTGGTAAGGCTGCCGGATTTTGTCATGATCATTTGCGTATCGTAGGCAACCACATCCAGGCACCAGCGAAATGCAACAAAAGTGGCTGCATTGATCTGAGGCAACGGAATCTGAATGTTCTCCGCTTGATGCGGGCCCGTGCTCAAGCCTCAACATCGACGGTATAATATGCAAACTAAAGAAGCGCACCCCCGTTCCAAAGCCCAAGATCAGATGCCCTATGTTGGATCCGAGCTCTAGATAAGTCGCAGGTTGAGGCATTCAGCCCTTGCTGCCCTCATGTTGCTGAACTTTTTTCTAGAAGGATTTGTTGCTGTGTTCTTCAGGGGGTTACTGTAGGTCGGAGGAAGGGTGTGAACGCGTCATGGGCCTCCTCCCTCCCCATAGTTTGCCACACCAAAACAGGATAACCAAGATGTTTCCGAAGAAGTCACCAACCCAAATGCCTACAAAAGTCTGTTGCATCCCGAAGCTAAAGGCTTATGTAGCACTGCTTCAGTTGGACTCACTGTACTGTCGAGGTCGAAGTTCAGGCTACCTTATCCCGGGTTCCAGGCATTTTGAAGCTACTGACTGACGCGACCGGCCTGGCAACTTGCCCGACTCTGTGACCACGCCGTTTCGGGATATCTGCCACGAGAACTCCAGATGCTGCAGCGTCAGGAAATCGTAGCCTCAAAAGCGGAAGCACATGCAACCAACTAGATAAACACAGTCTGCCAACCGCCTGCCTCAGGAAGAGACTTTTCAGACAAGTGACGATTTCGAACTTCGATGATGCCCCTGGCCAAATCCACAGCTCGGTAGGTGACAAACCTGGGTTCGTTTGAAACATCTTTTGGAATTCCTTCGATAGAATATTCATGTCTTCGACATAGTGAAAACAGCGGAGTGTAGCCGCTGAAAAGTCTTGCCCAAGAGCAGTCCGGATGCTGCATGACCTTTTTCGCCTCGAAGAGGTGTGGATTCGGCTTCCTATCCGGCTGAACAAGACCATTGATGCAGAAGTTCAAATCGGTCGGGGTGTCTTTGCCCCCGAAATCCGAACCAAAGGCCCAAATCTTCTTGCCGTTCTTCTGGGTCTCCAGCCCTTGATCGACCCAGTCCCAAATAAAGCCGCCCTGTAGGACCTCATGCAACGCCGTTGGGTTTAGAAGAGGTTAGGACTTAGGACTTTAGGATAGTTCCATGTCCCTGATAACTAAATTCGCGCAGTTTCGTGGGCAAACCAAGAGCAAGGGTCCTACTGTTACAATTTGCAACAGGAGCCACTGAAGTCTGCGACTGAGTGACGTCATACTTGTAGATGACGTCCCAGTATTCTTTGAAAGCTCCCAAAGAGTTACCCATAGCGTGGGCATACTCAACCATAATGAGAGGTCGCGCATGAACGTCGCCCTCGTAAAGCTCCCCATACTTTTCCAGCTTCTTGTGGCTGGGATACATGGGACAGTAAATGTCGGTATTCGCGTCCTGAACAAGATAAACATCACAGAGTGAGGACGGCTATGGAGAAGCAAGCAATATGGGCAACAGGTTCAGTCTCAGCTGCCATTTTCTCAATGTTGTCCGTGTTCCAGTCTGGATCAGTTCTCCATCTTGCATGCTCGTACTGGACAGGCCGTGTTGGATCTCGGCGCTTCAGCCACCTAGGCAAACCCTTTCTTGAACAAGGTCTCTCTGAAGTGCCTCCAAGTTGCCTGCCTCAGCGATGGCTCGTGCTAGGCAAACCCTAAACCATAAACCCTCTCGCTCTGTGTCCGCGCTTTGAAGGCAGTTTTGATCTACTCAGGAGTGGCAGAATCAATGCGCGATGCGCTCTCACATGCAGCAAACTGACGCACCTGTAGTTTTCAGCGTGGAGCAAACAAGCAACGTTAGACATGAGTCAAAAGCAACATAAAACAACATCATCGGACAAGGTGCATGTAGGTCCGGTGATGATTGATTCCTTGTGGGAGGACGGTTTTCTTTACTTTGGGTTTGCAATCGGATGTCGCGGTTATTGAAGCGACTTGGAAGCCTATCTGCGATGCTGGTACAGGATACTGTTGAGCTCTGGCACCCGCAGGGCATTGGGCACGAAACACCCCTCGATCAGAATTTATGCCATCCGGAAACTGCAGTACTCATAGATTTCGGTTTCCCAAACCCGGCGGAGGTGCCATTGCCAGCTTCGTTCCCCAAAGACCAGATGATGATGCTCGGGAAGTTCTTGTCACGTTCCTGAGGATTGGGATGGCTCCGTGTGACATTGCGAAATCTGTTTCAATGATCAGCACTAAGCTCTGGTCCACGTAGCGCTGCACTCTCGCCATGTGGGCCACATCCCACTCTTCCTCGCAGAAGAAGTTTCTGGCACTTCAAGGCAGTGGCTTTTCGTGCGTGTTCTCTTGCCCGAGTCAAAGGATTTTTTTAAACCCCTTGCATAGAGGTTTTTATAAAAACCTCTATGAAGTCCGCAAAAGCCTTCGCAGAAGGCCGCGTTCGCAAACCATCTTCCATCGATTCGTCCGAGGCTTTGCTCGATCACAGGGTCAGGAGTATAGCAAGTATATCCACAGCCACGCTGTTTGAACCCACACACACACACACACATATATATATATATATACATACATACGTACATACGTACATACATACATACATACATACACACAGGCGCAAAGAAAAACATCCTGCCAGCTTGCTGTGTCCTTGTTTCCCAAGGTCTTGTCCCAGTTGAAGTCCATGCCGTGACTTTCAATGTTTGCCTCATCCACAACATAAAGGCCGAGCTCGTCGCAAAGCTCGTAGAACAAAGTGTCGTTCCTGAGAAAATAGCGGCATCGTAGGAGTACGTGCTTGATAAACTTGATAACTACCAAAGCGGGCAACAGTGAGCATCGGAAGCCTACACCTCTGCAATCCTGTGGACAAGACTGCCAGAAACGAGTAAAATGATAGCAAGCTGAGAGTCGGGTAATGCGCACAACGAACTGCATTGAAACTGTTTTGCTTCATGAGGCGGATGTCCTGAGGGCCCATTCAGTGCGCTCTTGCCTCTCTGCGTCAATCAATCTGCAGGTGAGCCGCCGTCACCATAGACTCGCGGTCGACAACGTGGCCCCTCAACTGGTGGTGCTCGTGACGATTGACACCACGCAGGGTCAATTCGCCTGTGTCGTCGCTCTTAATTCAAGTGTCAAACGAAAGGCAGGTGCAACTACCTAGGCAGTTGGAAGTTGCCAGTGCTGTCCGGCAGCTGCCATTCAGCAGTAGTCGACCCTGGCGTATCTCAACTGTTCGGAAGCCCACCCGGAGGCAGACCTTACAACTTTGATGAAGCAAACTCGATTTCAGAGTTGCAAAAGTCTCTGCACAATGGAGATTTCCGTCAGCTTCACCGGAAAAAAGTACGAAATCACTGATCCCTCGCATCTCAAGGAGTGCTGGGTGTTGCATAGGAAACGGTTGACACAATGCGGCGTAGCTGCAGCCTCCGTCATCAAGGCCTTCTCATCCCTCAGGCTCACCTTGGATGCAAGTGCGGAACTTCCAAACTGACCAAGCCTGCAAGATGCATCATGAGAATATGGCTCACAAAGACCCCACCTCAATGAGATGATCATGATGCTTCAATGTAAGCACGCAAAAAATGGTGTAGAACCTGTTTCTATACAACCTGGCATGGACGAGCGCCACAAAACTTTCGACTGAACCAGCTTGGGGTCCGGCTGGTGCATGGTTGCTATAACTGCACTCCGAGCTCTTAAGAGCGAAGTCCCAAGTTTGGTAGGACGGCATTGCTACCCTACATGCAGCATTTCACATCGCCCTAGGCGTCACGAGGGAGATCCCGGCTGCCACCGTGCTGTCAGCGCAGATGCAGTCAAGCCACAAGTAAGGTGTACAGGTGAGGTGCCTCGAGAACCACATACATGAAGCTACTTTCCGTGCGAAATTACAAACAGCACTGTGTAGCTGGATGCTGAGGATGCGATTAGACTTAGCTACGAGCTTTTCCTCGAAAATCCTGTTTCAAATCTGTCTTGAAGACTTAGACCAGGACCCTTTATGCAGCTGTATCAACAGGATGGCCCTTTCGGGATTCACTTCAAACTCTGAACCCAATCATGTACGTTCGCCCCTTCCTCGTTGGCGCTCGAAACACTG